ACTTGTCAACCGCAAAGAACATCTCAGCCTGACCTACGATCATGGTGTTGAAGCCTTGGACGCGCTCGTTGATGTCCACTCCATGCCGAGACAGGATGATGCACAAGAGCACTCCGTAGCGCCTCCACACGATCTGGATCAGCAAGCTTCTTCTGATCCAACCTGACTTTCCCCCCGGCCTGAGGAGAATAATGCCTCGCCGCTTGGACCGCGAGAGGCAAGTCATTCTTTCTCCTCCTCCTCCGCCTCCCCCTCGTCCTCCTCCCTCTCCCTCTCACTCTCCTCCTCCTCCTCCTCCTCCTCCTCCTCCTCTTCCACGCCACCTTACCTCGCTGGGGGACGCCACCACATTGCCAGTGGCGGCGCCTGCGCCCGCCCGCCCGAGCCTCAGGACGTGGCCGGCGCAGGGTTGCCCGCCGTGGCGTGGCCGCCAGCCTCGGAGGCCCGTCGTTGGGAGGGGGGCACTGGGCAACCCCGCGCTGCGCGGCCCCTGGGGGAGACAGAGGGAGGAGGATTTGGGACGATGATGATGCTACTGATGGTGATGATGCTGATAATGCTGATGCTGATGCTGATGTTGATGATGATGATGCTGATGCTGCTGCTGACGATACTGCTACTGATGATGCTGCAGATGATGCTGCTGATGATGCTGCTGACGATGATGCTGATGATGATGATGCTGCCTATGCTGATGATGCTGATGATGATGATGCTGCTGATGATAATGATGCTGATGATAATGCTGCTGCTGATGATGCTGATGATGCTGATGATGATGCTGCTGATGATAATGATGCTGATGATACTGCTGCTGTTTATGATGCTGATGATGCTGATGATGCTGCTGATGATGATCCTGATGGTGATTAGGCTGATTCTGAATATGCTGATGATGCTGATGATGCTGATGATGCCGCTGATGATGATGATGATGCTGATGATGCTGATGGTGCTGATGATGCTGATGATGCTGATGATGCTGATGATGATGATGCTGTTGATGATGATGATGCTGATGATGATGCTGATGATGATGATGATGGTGATGGTGGTGATGCTGATGATGATGATGGTGATGATGATGATGATGACGATGATGATGATGATGATGATGATGATGATGATGATGATGATGATGATGATGATGATGATGAGGATGAGGATGAGGAGAGGATGAGGATGAGGATGAGGGAGGAGAGGATGAGGATGAGGATGAGGATGAGATGAGGATGAGGATGAGGGAGAGGAGGAGGAGGAGGAGGAGGCGGAGGAGGAGGAGGAGGAGGAGGAGGAGGAGGAGGAGGAGGGGGCATGTAGGAGCCTCTGGGGGCACTCTTGGGGCCTCCTGGGAGCGTCTCGGGGGCCTCTTGGAGGCATCTCGGGGGCCTCCTTGGGCCTCTTGAGGGCCTTCAGGGGCTTCTCGGGGGCTTCCTTGGTCGACTTCGGGCATTCGTAGCCCGTCTGACGCCGTCGGCAGCCGTCTTGGGGGTCTCCCTGGGCCGACTTGGGCCCTCTTGGGGCGCCCCAGGGCCGTCTTAGAGGCTATCCTGGGCGTCACGGAGGCCTCTTGGGCCGTCTTGGGCCGTCTTGGGGTCCTCTTGGGGCCGTCTTTAGGGCCTCTTGGGCCGTTCTGGGGCCATCTTGGAGGCCTCTTGGGCGATCTCGGGGCGATCTTTGGGGCTTTTAGGCCGCCTCGGGTCGTGGGGAGGCCGAATAGAAGCGTCAATGATTGTGGCCTCTTCGGGCCTTCCTGGAGGCCCTCTTGGGGGCCCCTTTGGCCATCTTGGGGACCTCTTGGGGGCCTCTTGGGCCGTCTTGGGCCATCCTGGAACCATCTTTGACCGTATTGGTGGGCTCCTGGCCCGTCTGACGCCGTCGGAAGCCGTCTTGGAGGCTTCTCTGGGCCGACTAAGGGCCCTCTTGGGGTGGTCCGGGGCCGTCTTGGGGGCCTCTTGGGTCGTTCTGGGGCCATCTTGGAGGCCTCTTGGGCCATCTTGGGGCGATCTTTGTGGGCCCTTGGGCCGTCTCGGGTCGTCGGAAGGCCGAAAGAAGCGTGTGCCAAAATCCTTCGAAACCGAATGGGAAGTCAATCATTTTGGCCTCTTTGGGCCTTCCTGGAGGCCCTCTTGGATGCCTCTTGGGCCGTCTTGGAGTTGGGAGCCTCTTGGGCCGTCTTGGGCCATTTTGGACCATCTTGGGTGAACCTGGAGGCCATCTTGGGCCATCTGGGCCCTCTTGGAGGCTATCTTGATCCATCTTGGGGGCATTTTTTTCGGACGTTGTGCTCGTTTGGGCGGCTTCCGGGTGGCTAGCCCCATGAGGAGTTCTTTTGGAAAATAACCAAAACCAAAAGCGGTAGGATCTCGCACGCCAGGCACCCCTGTGGCAAGCCAACAGGGGGCGGCGGATTATTATTATCATTATCGAAGACGCCTACGGCGAATCACCGCCGCCCCCTGCCTTTTTGGAAGCGCCTATGTGGCCGAACGTTGAGGCCAGACCTGCCAAGCTATCGGACCACGTGTTCCCCGAATCGGTTTGGAGAGCCTTCGGGGAACACGTGGGCATCTTGAAGGTCATCTTGGCCGTCTTGGAGGCCTCTTGGGCAAGCTTTGGGCGATCTTTGGGGCTTTTTGGGCCGTCTCGGGCCAGCTTCGAGCCAACTTCGGCCATCTTGGTGGGTTCCTGGCACGTCTGAAGCCGTCGGAAGCCGTTTGGGGGGCCTCTATGGGCCGACTTGGGGCCCGCTTGGAATGCTCCAGGGCCGTCTTGGAGGCCATCTTGGGCGTCTGGGAGGCCATCTTGGGCGTGTTGGAGGCCTCTTGGGCCCTCTTGGGGCCCTCTAGGGGCCATCTTGGAGGCCACTTGGGCCATCATGGGGCTCTCTTGGGGGCCTCTTGGGCGATCTTGGGGGCTTCTTGGGCCGTCTTGAGCCGTCGGAGAGCCGAAAAGGCGCAAATGCCAAAATCCTTCAAAAACCAAGGGAAAATCAATGATTTTGGCCTCTTCGGACTCTCCTGGAGGACCTCTTGGAGGCCTCTTGGGCCGTCTGGGAGGCCTCTGGGGGGCCTCTTGGGCCGTCTTGGGCCGTCTTGGACTCTCTTGGGCCGTTTTGGAGGCCGTCTTGGACCATCTCGGGCGGACTTGGAGGCCATCTTGGGCCATCTTCGCGATTTTTTGAGGATGTCCCGAGCGAAACGGCCGTTTTTGGGCATTGAGAGATGGGTTTTGGGCAATTTGCGGGTGGCCAGCGGGACGGGCCGAAGCCCACTGGGGATTTCTTTTAGAAAAAGAACCAAAACCAAAACCTGAAACGTCCAGCACGCCGTGCACCCCTGCAAGCAGGGGGCGGCGGATCTATTCGCCTTCGGCCCATCCCGCCACCGTGCGTGGGTTATGGGTTAGAGGCCTCTTGGGTTTTCGTTTGGATATCGTGTGGGGCCTCTCAGGGGCCTCTTAGAGGCAGTTTTGATGCCTCTTCGGGGCCGTTTCGGGGCCTCTTTTTGGGTCTCTTTTGGGGCCTTTTTGGGGCCTTTTTGGGGCCTCGTGGGGCCTCCAGGGGGCCTCTTGGGCTCTCTTGGGGGCCTTTTGGGGCCTCCTGGGGGCCTCTTGAGGCGGAAGGCTCAGATTGTCGGTTCGTGTTCCCTCTCTTGAGCCCCTCTTGGGGCCGTCTTGGAGCCCTCTTGGGCGATCTTGGGCGCCTCTTGGGCCGTTTTGGGGCCCTCTTGGATCGTCTTGGAGCCCTCATGGGTGCCTCTTGGGCGATCTTGGGGCGGTCTTGGGGGCCTCTGGGGCCATCTTGGAGCGTTGGAAGCCCGACAATGCGAGAACGCGGCAAACATCGAAACACACACATGGAAACTAAATGATTTTGCCTCTTGGAGCGCTCTTGGAGCGCTCTTGGGGCTTCTTTGGGGCCTCTTGGGGCGTCTTTGGGCGATCTTGGGTGCCTTGGAGCGCTCTTGGGCTGTCTTGGAGGCCTCTTGGACCCTCCTGGGCGCTTTCCGGGGCCCTCTTGGCCCGTGTTGGGGCCCTCTGGCCTTTGGAAAAGTTATGCGCGGCAGCCCAGGAACGCGCGGGAATGCTCAGGAGATTTTAGAATATGGGGCCCCAGCCCTTAGAATACTCTCATCCCAGAGTCCTGAGCACAGAGAGCAGAGGACACATGAGGACCCCGAGGAAACTCCACCTCGCGCCTCGCGGCACGGTGGCAGACTCTTATGGTGGTGCTGATACTCACGATTGTTGTTATTGCTGTTTTTTTTGCTGTTTATGTTATTATGCTTATCATTCGTACTAATTCTAGTAATGCCACTATGATTATTATGGTGATGGTGCTGATACGGATTATGATGATGATGGTGAATCTGATGATGATGATGATGATGGTGATGAGGAGGAGGAGGAGGAGAAGGAGGGATGATGAAGTTGATGATGATGAGGATTATGCTGCTAATGATGGTGATGCTGCTGATGATGATGCTGATGCTGATGACGATGATGATGATGGCGACACTGATGACGATGATGACGATAATGGTGATGGAGATTGTGATGATGATGACGATGACGATGACGAGGGTGACGATGATGATGCGACGATTCTGATGATGCTGATGATGACGATGCTGATGATGCTGCTGATGATGCTGATGATGAGGAGTAGGTGGAGAAGGAGGAGGCTGATGATGAGGATGCTGAGGCTGAGTATGATGCTGCTGATGATAATGACGAGGACGATGACGATGATGATGATGGCAATGAGGAGGAGGAAGATACGGAGGAGCAGGAGGGATGATGAGGATGATGATGATGATGATGATGATGACAATGCTGATGATGACGACGACGACGATGCTGATGATGAAGCTGATGATGATGCTGATGATGCTGATACTGACGATGGTGATGACGATGATGCTGCTGCTGATGATGCTGATGATGCTGATGCTGATTCTGCTTATGATGATGATGGTGATGCTGATGATGACGAAGATGCTGCTGATGATAATGACGATGATGATGCTGCTGATGATAATGATGAGGATGAGGATGAGGATGATGCGGATGATGAAGCTGATGATGATGACGATGCTGATGACGATGATGATGATGGTGGCGGTGATGATGATGCTGATGATGATGCTCATGCTGATGATGGATGATGACGATGCTGCTGCTGATGATGACGATGATAACTCTGATGATGATGCTGATGATGATGACGATGATGATAATGATGTTGATGATGATGATGCTGCTGCTGATGATGATGATGATGATGCTGATGATGATGTTGATGATGATGATGATGATGCTGATGCTGATGCTGATGCTGCTGCTGATGGTGATGCTGCTGCTGATGATGATGATGATGATGATGATGATGATGATGATGAGGATGAGGATGATGAGGATGATGATGATGATGATGATGATGATGATGATGATGATGATGACGATGATGACGATGATGATGATGATGGATGATGATGATGATGATGATGATGATGATGATGATGATGATGAGGATGAGGATGAGGATGAGGATGAGGATGAGGATGAGGAGAGGATGAGGATGAGGGATGAGGATGAGGATGAGGATGAGGATGAGGATGAGATGAGGATGAGGTGAGGATGAGGATGAGGATGAGGATGAGGATGAGGATGAGGATGAGGAGGATGAGGATGAGGATGAGGATGATGATGATGATGATGATGATGATGATGAGATGATGATGATGATGATGAGATGAGATGATGATGAGGAGGAGGAGGAGGAGGAGGAGGAGGAGGAGGAGGAGGAGGAGGAGGCTCATGATGAGGATTCTGAGGCTGAGGCTGAGGCTGAGGCTGATGCTGAGGCTGATGATGTTGCTGAGGCTGAGGAGGAGGAGGAGGAGGAGGAGGGTCGTGTTGATGGATTGAGTGATTCTGCAAAAAGTCCTCGCAGGAGCTACGAGCAAGTCGGGGCGTCAAAATGCCAGTGCCGCCACACACTGGAAGAGTGTTAGTTGGAGGGAGGAGGGACGAGGCGGAGGAGGAGGAGGAGGAGGAGGAGGAGGAGGAGGAGGATAAAGAGGAGGAGGAGGACCAGAGATAACCCAAGATGCACCAGCGATGCCTAGGACATCATTTTGAAGAGCCTTCCTCCATCCTTCTAAACCTTGCAAACTTTTAGACGACTGTGCGCAGCGCGACGGCCAGAGCATCATTTTGAAAACGACCCGTGCTCCATCCCACCCACTCCTCTTGTCCTCGTGCTGTCCTGCCTCTCCTTCCCTCACCTCCCAGCCAGGAGACGCCCACTGTCACTATGACTACGTGCTCGTGCAGTCTTCTGCAGGTTGGGAGGAGGATGACAATGTTGGCGTATGCAGTGGTTTTGCAGTGGCTTGGTCGACACTCGACCAGCGTCACCGGTGCTCGGTTGGAGGCGACCCCCATCTTTTGGCTGCCTGAATATCCATGCAATGCCGCCGTGGCTTCGACTCGAAGTTCAAGTTGAGGAACAAGAGCCTGGTCCAGACTGTATAGACTTCCTTCTTCTGCTCCACTCAGCTCCGCAGGGTTTGTGTTTTTGTGGTGTCGTTCGCCGACCGGTCCGAACTCGCCCTGCACAGTTTTCCTGCCAGTGGGACCGTTGCGGTTCTACATCCTTCTGGTTGTTGGCAGGTCGATGTACAGTCAAGACGCTGAAAGCAGGGCCGCGTTTGGGTTCGGGAGGGGGTCCGGTTTTCGGGCCGCTCCTGGCAGTCAGGCCGGGGAACGCAGTCGTGGCCGAGGCCCGCCGTGGCCGTACGAAGACCCTTCTCTCCTTCCGCCCCGTTCCTTGCGGTAGCCGCGATGGCTGTACACCTTAGGCGATGCTTAAGAAAACCCAAGTTTTCGGCCAGAGTCTCGATTATTCTTAACGTTTCAATGTAACTCTTAAGATTTTGATAGAAATCTTGGGTTTTTGTTCGAGTTCTGAGACTACGAATTTCTTAACCCATGATTTCTTAAGCACTTCGCGGGGTGTATGCGGGCTGTCCGTGGGATAGTTTGGCCGCAATCGCAGCGCCGTCTCGCGCAGGAGTCTTTCTTTATTTCAAAAAGGGCCCAGCGACAACCCGGGCGATCGGGCCCTCGCGCCCTCGCGCTCCCCCCCTAGCCCCCCGGATAACTTGACCTTGTGCGTTGCGCAGGTCCGAAGTGGGTGCGCATCATTGGTGCGCGAGGGCACACGTGGGGCTGCCCAAAACGAAGAGGACCCCCACCAGATAGCCTGGATTATCGCTTGCAAAACAAGCACGGTCTCCAGTCTTGCCTCAAAAATGCCCCTCCAAACGAAGCGAGCACTTCAGAACCGCCCGCTGCCAGGCGGCGCCGGCTCAGCAGCGGCAGGGGGGCGCGCGGGCATCGGCGCAGAAGCAGCCGCCGCCCTCCTGGGGCCATCCGCAGGCCGATGCGATGCGGGCAGGGTGCGGCAGCTACGGCCGCATGCCAGAACTCCCC